AGGGCTATCACACTGTGGAGGGGAGGGGGAGGGAGGGAAGGGAAAGGGGAGGGACGAGGGCTATCACACTGTGGAGGGGAGGGGGAGGGAGGGAAGGGAAAGGGGAGGGACGAGGGTTTTTACACTGTGGAGGGGAGGGGGAGGGGAGGAAAAGGGGAGGAGGGAGCGGAGAAGAAGGAAAGGGGAGGGAGGAAGGTTATCGACCTTATTGCCATCGGGATTTTTGCAGGTGAGAAGTTAGTAGTGTTTACCTGGCAGTTAATTACCATACCAATGACTCGGATCATGCGATCCTTTCTCTTTAGGGCGCTGTATGTTGATGCTTAGCATAAATCGTTAACAATATAAGGTGCAATTGTCAGAGAACGCAGAACGTGTTGGAAGGCATGGGAAGAGGACCGTAGCGGGGGCGGAGGAAAGAGACAGGACAAGATAAAGGAAGAGGAGGTAGAGACAGAGAAGGAGATGGATGCGTGCGAAATGGGGAGGAAGGCAAGGGAAAAAGTAGAGGAGGTAAAAAAGGTCGAGAACTATGAGGAAGAGGAATTAACAGTAGGAAAAGTAGAGGAGGTAAAGGAGGAGAAATGGAACAAACTCAGTGGAGTTGAGAAAAAGGAAGAGTCAGAGACAAAACTCCAAAGATGAGAAGAAGAAGGAAACAGAGAAAGGAGGCGAAGATGCGAAGAAGAGTTTGTAGAAGGATGGGAACTACGAAGCATGCCCCTAACACACGTGACACGTACCATGAGTTCATGCATCAGGTAGCCGGCTGTGCGAGACTGCAGGCCGACGGTAGCGATGGCGCTGCGAACATAGGTCTCCGCCGTCAGACAGCTCGTCCTCACATCTATCTGTGACGTCATGTTTGTCGATACGTATCCCGGCGTCACCAACTGCGACGATCGAAACGACAATGTGAATATTACGGTAGTTAAAGCTATATTTGCGAGATTCTTACTCAGAAACACTCAATTGGAAAAAAGCTGCGGTGGAACGGAGGGCTATATAGTTAGAGAGCTAGTTTAAAACGTGCGTGTTTTGGTGAATACGAAGGTTCTAACACATTTTATCGTTACTCTAGACAGTTGCTGTTGTGTTGCAGTAGCAATAACGGTAAGTGTCGTATCAGTTGGGAAAACACAAGATTATGTTCGAAATAATAACTTGAATAGGTAATTAATGTAGTTAAAGAGATACATTACTTCAGTTCTTTAGATATTTTCAGT